TTTGCGCGGTTAAACAGCCGCCGCGGTTTCGATCATCGCCCGCAAATGTGGCGGGCGATGATCGCAAGACTGCAAGACGGGCGGTTAACGATCAGTTGAGGTCCAGACCGCCATGGACACACACCAGAAACGAGCCGTTGCGTTATATTTACTTCACAGAAGACCCGCCGGCCACCGCGGTCGCTCGCCAACCGATCTCAAAGCGCGCGGGTGCCACCCGCCGAGGCTGCGGGTAACCGCGGTCCGCGCGATTCTACTAGTTGCCCGCCGGTACAGCGGGAGCCGCATACAACCGCGTACACCGCGGGCGTAAAACGCGTCGTGAAATATCCTTTAATTTTTTATATGAATATTTGAATTCTACAGAAGCTGCGGGCCCGCAACCGCAGCGGACGCGGGCGAAAATCGCTCCGTGAGTTCTTAGCCATAATTATTCTGCAGATAACTTCTATCTAACCACTGAAAAATCAACCCTAAATTAGTCGATAAGTTCAAATTAGAAAAATATTCAAACAAAAAAGAAAATAATCTACCTACCCGTTGACTTATAGGTATGTATTATCACTTAATATTACTGTATATTTTTTTTTTTGGAATGTACAATAATTATTTGAAAGTTGTATAGTAGGTATTAAGTAAAATTTTATTTCATTTGACAGAATATCTTGCTAAGTACAACACCATTGTAAGTTTTGAATTATGACTACTTAGGCATACATTTAATTTAGTACCTACATTTAATCTACATTTTAATTGTATTATAATTATTTTTAACATTTTTTTGTTTGTTTTAATACATTCAGAATACAGACATTTATCTTAGAAGATAAAATTGTTTTGGCCCATAAAACGTTGCGGGCAAAAACTTGGCGCCCCGAACACAGTAAGTAGTATATACCTATATTAATATCAATAAAATCTGATCTATTGTATAAGAATGCATAATGTATAGATTATTAGATAAATAGGTACAGTGGTTGTGCCCGACTTCTAATAAGAGAAGATACATTCTTAAATCACTAACATCATCATCATCATCATCATCAGCCTATAAGTGCCCACTGCTGAGCAAAGGCCTCTTCTCACACGGAGAAGGTTTGAGCATTTATCACCACGCTTGCTCAATGCGGGTTGGCGATTTCAAACTTACAATGAGAAATTATAAGTCTAGGTTTCCTCACGATGTTTACCTTCACCGTATGTCAGTGGTGTCTAAATATTCATAGAAAGTACATATAACTCGGAAAAAGTCACATTGGTACTTGCCAGGTTTCGAACCCACACCCTCATGCATGAGAAGCGGGCTCCTTAACCTTCGGGCCACCACGACATTCATCACTAACATTAGGTAGTCAATTATTTTTAAAAGCACAAATAAGTTACTCAGTAATTATCTAAACACCTGGAGACAAATATAGATCGAAACGTACGATTAAGTACATCAAATGTGTTATTCATATAAAACGTCCTTTCAAAGGTATATGAACAATATTCGATCTTCGTTTTGGTAAACACCAATACACCAAGAATATAGAAACTAACAACCATTTATATTCTCCAGACCTAATTCCAAATATGACCATTATTATCGTGTTATGCACACAATACCAATTTGTGGACATAAAGAATTGTTCCATGTTTGAACCTCATGCATGGATTTCCATGACAAATATTGTGCACAGACTGCATATACACTACCTACTATAAGCAAATACAATCTAGAATATTCTTAAATATCTATAGATGAGATCATTATTATCATTGCACTAACATTTAAGAGTTCCATTTACATTTTTAGGTACATCTAGAGTACAATAAAGGTTGTACATAGGTACATATATGCCAATAAATAGTAATGAATAAAAATACTGATGAAATAATTATTTTAGAGGATCCTTTTAAATTACACTTGCATCGAATTTTATTTTGATTTTCTGTGACTAGCATTTAATTTAAAATTTAATTTAATAGGATTCAATATAATATAGTAATTTCTTCCGGCAACCTGACAGTTTTGGCATTCCGCTTACATACGGTAACACATGTACACAGTTGTGTTGATTTCTATAGGTACCTATGCAGGTGTATAGGTTCATGTCACAAAGCATTCATAAAAAAAAACAATTTAAAATCTAAAGATAACAAAGTTTTTCGATAGGTGGCTACCTATAGGGAGGTACCTATACAGCTTGAATACTTAGGTAAGTAATTACTCGAAAAACAGTATTTTGTACTTGAAAGTCAAAACTTTTTTGATATGTTATAGAACGGATTGCCGAAATTATCTTGGTACCTTTGCTATCATCAAATATCTATTTTAACAGGTTACTATTAATAGTGGTAACATTTGATTACCTTCGATCCTGCTGGGATGTTTAAGGTCTGAATTTTAAATATTTTTTAAGTTTATCTATCAGAAGAAAACATGGCCTGTAGATAGGGCCTTACAAAATATTATTCGTTTTACGTATTTTAATAATTAATGTTATAGGTAAATGAATTTAAAATATATAAGTATTTTAGTTCCAAATAGAGTTACACTCAATAGATTAGGGAATTTTTTGATAAGTAGAAAGTTATAATAAGCTCTAAAAATTTTCGTTTGCCGACTAGGTAATTAATTACCTATTTAAATCAGTTCACATCTTGTCTTTGAATCAACCACCGCAAATAGAAATATGTATACATACCTACCTCTACCTATACGTGTCGTAACCAACTAGTTTAATATGCCATTCAATTAAACACATAGGTAGCTTGTCAAACAAATGATATCGGAATTATACATTATACGATATGCCAGAATTATTCTGGTGAATGATTATTTCTGATAATAATTCGATTCGTTCAGGGGTCACATTGTAAAATAATTTAGCAATTGGTATTTTTGAAAATAACAATAGTAGGCTAACCACTTTTACACGTCAACTTAATATAAAAGATCTTGATAATATTTTCTATTTGATAAAGTAGCTCAAGAAGAAATAACGAAAGAGTTTCAGAGGTCAGTCTCTGTTACCTAAAGTAAAATGATCTAATGACATTCCCTCTCCTCTCTAACGACTTGATGAGTAAGTCGACTTTTCAATTCAAGATAACAATTATTCAGGCAATGGTTAAACGGCACATTGAGCTTGTTGGCTGCAACAGATTCACAATAGACACAGTATCTCTACAGTGAGTAGGCCTGTATAAAGTACATCATCTAGATTCCATAACATCAGTCTCTGAGTTCGACTCAGTACGCAGTGTAGAGACTCGATCATGATGGTAAACATGACATAATACATTACTTATCACACATTAATCACATTGTAACAATCTTAGCCGAAAATTCATCAGTCGGATGTAAACTTGACACTTCACAAACATGACCTGTAAATAGGGTCATAGGTTATAAACATTTCACACATTGTAGGTAAGTTTACAAAATAATTAGGTATATAATAAAAATGACATTATTATAAATATAATTAACAAATCGAGTTATACTCAACAAAAAAATGTTTGACACGTATACAAGTACTATATGTACAAAGGTAATCATGTTACTACATTGTTCTTTGGTATAATTATGTACTGACTTCTTATATAACTACAATATTAACACCGAATAGACAAATAGAATATATTATATAATTATTCAAGTCATTATCTGCCAATAAGCAAAATTAAATTCGGATTGTCCGGTAAACAGTTTCAAAAATAAAATAATGGACGAGTCCACGTAGTATCTACTGACTAATTAATAATATCGAATCGCAAAGTATAAATATAATAATACAAGAAGTATCGTAGCGTACTTTCTATGGCGTCGACCAATAAGCCTGGGTGAAAGCGGAGACTAAACGGCGCCACGGTGGAGTACAGTACAAAAAGTTTCTAATTACATTTCGGCCATCATCGAGCGACGCATCTGCGAGTATAGTTTAGTTACAAAGTATCTATACTATGCTACCATGTAGTTTACAGTGCCCTTCCCATCTAGGCGTTACGGCAGACTCATAGGGTTGACGCGAGCGTAAATAAATCGATGCAGGAAGATATGTCGGCGCCAAGACTCTCAAAACCGAACCTGAACCTTCTCTTCGTAAAATTTAAATACCTGCAAATAAAAATAAAAAACCTTTTGTAAAGTACATTATAATTCTATACCTACATTATCTACACGAATGTTATAAAGCTGAAGAAATTATTTGTTTGTTTGAACGATTAATTCATTTTTATGATTGATAGTTAATTTATCGAGGAAAAGTATGTCAACACAAAAATAAATTAATGTCAAATCCTTTCTTGAGAGTGACAAACAGAAAAACACTACCTACTAAAGTTAGTTGTGGGTGCTGTTTACATACTTGGTGCCTACTGTTAAAATGGTATGGTATGAACATTTTAGTTCCGACAAAACACCATATTACAAGACTTAAAATGTCTGGTACTTGGACAACCAGGACATAGATATATATTTTATTATTTTCTTTAAATTAAACTTTCATTGTTGAGTTGGGCCTATTTTTACCCTTGATATGCAAAATTTCGAATTTGTTTTGGTCATTTCTATAAAAATAGAAAGCTATGAAATATATAGGTATAAGATTTACATTGACATGATGAAAGCAATGATAATTAAAAGTATAAAAACTAAAACCCAACTACGACAAAAACCGACGCTGTAAAAGTATAAAAGAAGATTTTCAGAATACTGAAAGGCGTAGTCACACGTTATCACAATGCAGGTATGGTAAGAAAATGTAACGTGTAAAAGTGTATTTGTGGCGCATAATATCAACAAAAGAATGAACTAATATTAAGTAGTAAAAGGTATGAACGAAAAGATGTGAATTATATGCAATCATCCCATGAATACAAGCAAAGTCACTAGCACATGCTAGTAATATACATATATATGTAATTTCAAAATCATTTAAATTCAAAATATACTAAAACGAATGGTGACTAAATAGATAATGAACAATTTATGTTCGTTTTGATTTACGTACTTATTCCTTACCGATAATCTTTTCAGGCCTTGAACGTCTTGGTCGGCTATACGCTGAGGGGATTTCCTCCCCTACGTCCACGTCCTCATCCGCGATCTCATTCTCTGCCTTCACCTCTATGACATCGTCATCTATATATTCAGATTTAATTTTAATACTATCGTCGTCGTCTATTATCACCACTTCTCCATCCATACGGTATGATGTTATGCTAAACGAAGAATGTGTGCGAGGAGGCCTAGTTTCAGCGTGAGTTGCCCTAGTTTGCCCGGACGACGATGCATCAATTGGCGTCGGACGGATAAGCAAGGTGTGACCAGGCCTCGGTTGTGTAGACGATGATCCAGCTGTACTTTCTTGGTGGACGGGTGCTGTTACTGGATAAGTACATAGCCTAACCTGGGTACACGGTCTGACGTTACTGGGCCACGGATGGGGATATATTCTAATGATTTCTGGTATGTTTGTATTCGGGAGTCTTATAATAGGTCCCTGGTCAGCAGAAGGCAGAGGATTGAAACTCAATCGCAGATAATTAAATTGGCTGCCACTTGGAGAATTTATATTAGGAGCCGGAAAGGTATTTCCCATGCTAGGGGTACTATTAGTCACTGGATGGGCCGGTGCTGTACTAGGTGTGTTAATCCGGGGCCTACCTGATTGGTCGGATGGTCTACTGGGGCAAGAGGGCGGTCTGACTACCTGCGCTCTACCTGGTAAGGCAGATGGTCTGCCCATTCGCGGCCTAAATAAATGAGCCGGTGGCCTGTAAATCCGGGCCCTATCAGCATGAGTAAGTGGCCTACCCACGCTTCTGTGATAGCCATGGGCGGCCCATGGTGTATTCATTCCTGGCCTAAATAAATGGGCAGGCGGCCTGTAAATTTGGGACCCACCGGGGTGGATAGACGGTCTAGACGGTCTGGTTCTGTCTGTAGGAATAGATGGTCTGGTTCTGTCTGTAGGAATAGATGGTCTGGTTCTGTCTATAGGAGTAGGTGGTCTAGTTCTGTCTACAGGAATATATGGTCTATCTATCCGAGGCCTGTCCATCCGAGGCCTATCCGTCCGTGGTCTATCCGTCCGTAGCCTATCTATACGAGGCCTTTCCAAGTGAGAAGCTAATCTACAAGACGTGTTATCTATTAAAGGGCTCGGGGGCGCAGGTGGATTGCCATAGCTCGTGCTAGGTCTTTGATGACCGTGCGTCAATGGCTCAGTTGTCGATGGACCAGGTGGCGATGAGCCAGGCGGAGACCGCTCAGGTGACGATGATTCAGGTGTCGATGCTTCAGGTATCTCCAACGTCTCAGATCTCCGACCTCGATTTACAGGCTCGGTTTCAGCCTAAACAAACACACAAAAAATACACAGTTACAAATGCAATTAAAATTATATCTCATAATCTCTTACCTATATATAAAAATTAAATTCTGTTTGTTAGTCTCACTAAATCTCGAGAACGGCTATTCCGAATTGGCAAATTTTGGTCTTCAAATATTTATGGAAGTCCAGGAAAGGTTTAAAAGGTCAGAAAATTTTAGTTTGCCCGGTCAGCTAGTTGTAAATCCTACCTAACATTATGAATGCGAAAGTAACTCTGTCTGTCTGTATTTTCTTCACGCCTAAACTACTGAACCGATTTTTGTGAAATTTGGTACAGACATAATTTGTAACTCGAAGAAGGACATAAGATAGTTTTCATACCAAAAATCTGCAGGAAGTTACTATTTCACGCGAACGGGGTCGCGGACAAAAGCTAGTAAATAAATAAATTCTCAAGTGTGGAAAATGCATGCACGGTCCGGTTCAAACGGAGTAATTTGGTTGCACAGAAAATCGACGTAGGTACATAAAACAATGGTAGTTTTTCGCTATTTGAATGAAGTTAACGGTATGTGAGTAAGGTCCAATCGGAAAATGGGGCCCATCACTAAAGGAAGTAGAAATGCCAGACGGGCTACTGCAGTAGGCCCAACAGTTGTAATATAGGATGAACTTGTGGGTAGGTACAACTTACGTTGGCTGTCGATGTTAAGATTAACATCTATAGAATAATATACTTAGGTAAGTACATGTAAAATAAATAGTATAAATAGGTCGTCGATCTGACGATGACAGTAATAAATATGATCAAATCTGATCAAATTTACTAAATTATGTAAACCAGAAGTATATAGTGTCATTTTGAATTTAGACTAACGTCATGTAGCCTCCTATTTTCCGCATGATTTGAAGTAACCCAACGAATGGCGTGACTGTAGCCTATCCGTTGCCATGTCGGGTGGTGCCAATTTCTACTTGAAGTAGTTCAACCGGGGCCAAACTCCATTGTTTTAAAGTACGGATTGTTTTTTACTGCACAAAATTACTCATTTCATTTCCTCTCGACAACGTCAGTGAAAATATATTGAAATTAAAACGTGTAATTTCATATAATTTCGGACAGTGTATCCACAGATTATATAACAAGGCAGATGGACCGTTTTCTTTTTGTAAGGGGAAAACCTAACTGACTAAAAACCCGCCTGTTCCTTCTCCTGCTCTGGGCCGAGGTCGCGGTGCCTAATTGCACTTACCTCGCAACCCCGTACGGAACAATAATGTGAAGCCGCTTTGGTAGACATGTGTGCATGACAGCTGTATAAAAACACGTTTTCTCGGTGTGCGTTACGGTTGCCAAATAATAACAAAATTACCCAAAATATGTCATTGTCTACCTATCGATATAAATAAATATCAATTTCCGATATGTATTAGATACCCGTTTGACACCTATTTAGGTCATTCTTTTTTGTTATGTTTATAACTTGGTAATTGTTCAATCAAGGTTTGTAAGAAAGAATAGTTTCCAAATATAATATAATAATAATCCTTCCATAGTTCCCATCATATCAGCCCATAGCAACTCACACCCATAACCTTATACTTTGTTTGGGGACCGTCCTTGGGTGCTTTTACATAGTCACATACAGGGATAGTGGCCGGTTTGTGTCCCATTTCATTTAGATAAAAGTTGTCTAAAGGGCACCTTTGCCTCGTACCTATGCCTTCCAAATGACCGGGACTCTGGTCCCGTGATTGAAGAACTAGAATAAACATTTTTGCTTAAAGCTATACCAAGTTCATAATATTGGGTGCCTGAACTAGGACAACCTGTGTTTCAGGCGAAAGTTTTAGAAGGAACGGAAAGTTTAGGAACTAATAATAACTTCTCTCTGTCTTCATAGGACATGTCTTGAAGTGCTTGATTAGGATTTTTATACAAGTACGGAGATTGTAGGAGTAAAAGAATAAAGTCGCAGGAAAGGTGCGAGGAATACAAAAAAAATGTTATAAAAGTGTGTTTTGTACTTTTTGCTGGGCAAACGATATCTTTCCTTCTTCTCGTTATTAATTCAGGATTGTAGGGAAGGGTTCCATGTTGTTTAAGCGTAGTGCTCATTATAAATATCTGGCGAACTGGTAGTACTTTACAAGATTTAAATATAGAAGATTAGTAGGGTAGCCTAGCCTTAGTACTAGCCATAAATACTGTAACAAATAAAAAAATATTTTTTCTATTGCAAATAACATTTATTACTTTTACAGTATGACCCCTTAAGAACATGGTGTTGTTAAGGGGCTTAACTACCTTCTCAAGAACGCTATTTTGATACACTTGTGCCGATGTTTTGATACCTTTTTCGCAAGAGTATGGCTCAGTCACTCCTTCATAGCTAACACCCCACCAAATCATCACTGAAGTCGGATAATGTCCACGTTGCACTCTGTCGACTAATTGAGAAGCTTTCTTAGAGCTTTGAGCATAGATACAGGCATTTTGTTTGTTAAAATGTTGCTCAATTGTAAAAATTTTCTCATCCGTAAACAAAATTTTTCTGTGACCTCCTTTGCGTACCGCTTCAGTAGTTGTTTGGATTTTATCACCCTGTTCTTTTTTAAATTATCATTTAAAAAAAGTCCAGTGCGTCTCTTATAGGCTGCAAGTCCTAAGTCGTCTTTTAAAATACGCGACATGATTCTAGGTGCTATCTTCATCTCCCGAGATAAAATCTTTTGCTTTCGGACAGGATTTCTTCGAATTCCTTCCCTTACTGCTTTGACCACCTTTTTCATACGAACACTACGTGGACGGCCAGATCTAACCTATTAATAGCCCGGTACACAAACATTTGACTAATACCAAGCGTGTGGAGAGTTTTAAAAATTGGATTTGGCTCCATACCCACTTTGTGTAATGCAATCACAGCGATTCGGTTCTCTTTATCACCCCACTCCATTTTAATATCAAAAATATAGAACAATTTATTGGCGCCAAAATAAGAAAACACAATGAAAAATTATATAAAAATGAACGATTCCAAATTCAAATGTAATATTTTGTTTATTTCTAATTGTAACAGTATTTATAGCCAGACAGAAAATGGAAAATATGGAAATTATTTGATTTTTGTGCATAATGTTTATTAGTCAAAGTTCACAATAATGAAGTTTAAATGTAGGTAGTTAGCAATCGTTATTTTGCACTCATTTCCTCTAATTTTGCCTGGTCTTTAATCCCTTGCTCGTAAAATTTGTAGCATGTCCATAAAACTCCGGCGAGCTCCGGCGAGATCTCATAGTAGAGTGGAAGCAACGACTGTCTTTCTGACAGCCGAGGGCCGGGCACGCTGTTATAGCAGCGGCAAGACCCCTCTTTGAGGAGTGGGTTGAGAGACGCCACGGCGTCCTCACCTTCCGCCTGACGCACGTGCTTACCGGGCACGGCAGCTTCGGTAGGTTCCTGTTTCGCATCCAGCGGGAAGAAACGCCAGAGTGTCGTCATTGTGCGGACCACCTAGAGGACACGGTAGAGCATGCAGCGTGCCCTGCCTGGGCTGAGCACCGCCGTGTCCTCGTGGAAGTGATCGGCGGCGGCGACCTCTCACGCCCAGCCTTAGTCGAGGCCATGATTTGTAGCGAGAGGAACTGGGAAGCCGTCTCCTCTTTCTGCGAAGCAGTGATGCTCGCAAAGGAGGAGGCGGAGCACGTGAGGGAACTATCCTCCTCGCGCCCCAGCCGCCGCGGTAGGCGACATTCCAGGCATCGGGGATCGAGAGATGATCTCCGGCCACTGTAAGCGCTGGTGTGCGGACGGCGAGTCCACCTGCCCAGCCCGACCAGAACCAGACCCGAGCGTATGACGCGTAGCGTTCCGCCCGCGCCTCAAGGAGCCAATGGACCACCACAGACGGGGCCCTATAGGGCTGATGTTCAGCCGGGGTTACGGGTAAAGCGCAATGAGCCACCACGGCCTCGGCCCAGAGCAGGAGAAGGAACGTGGGATTTTTAGTCAGTAAGAGTCTGACACTCTCTCTCTCGCCTAACCCTGGGCGGCAGAAGTAATTTGATGATTTTCCCCTGACAAAAAAAAGGGGAAAAGTATTTCAAAGTAAACTAACAACAGAGACCAATGTTTGTAAAGGTTTTGTGTTCCAAGAATTCAGAAAAAATAATTACATGTAGGTAACATTATATCCAAATAGACAAATCATAATCAATGAAAATCTCTTTATTTTTATTTTTGGTAGGTAACAGTTTTTACGATATTGAGAACATAAGACGGCATTATTCTCAAAAATATAAATATTATGACGAAAAATAAAAATATAAAGATGGGACGCTTCGTGACGTCTGACTGACACGAGTTTATATTCTATTTTGAATTTGTATTTGCTACGGTGGCTTCACTTTCGTGTTCTGCACGGTCTATCTGCCTTGTTGTTTTAATTTCAATGTTTGCTGGAAACGTCAGTAACACAGCGGTCGGTTACACTTATATGGTAAAAAAATTTGCTGGAAGGTTCCACTGCAGAAGCTTTTATTGAACTTGCATATAACATAAAAAAGCTTGTGAAATTTGTCCTGATTGTTTGATATATTCAAATCACAACTTTAGTAAATGTAGGTACAATGAAGTGTTTTACCTCACTCTCCGCGCTGCTCCACCCAGAGTCCTTGACCATTCTTTCGTATACATCTTTTATAGAGTCCCATGAAGTGTTTCCCTCTAAACATGCCCCCGCCCCCCACTGCACCATAATGTCTACCTGAAATTTATTTAATAATAAATGACATTTATTATTAAATACCTGCTCGCAGAAGTTCAGTTGTGACTCCGACATCGACCGGTACCTTGCTATTTGCTATTACATGCTAATGTTTTTTCTTGGGGGGGGGGGGAACTATCTAATCATATCTTCCCCAGGTTAAGGCGAGAGAGGGAGTGTCAGACTCTTAATGAGTAAATGCCACCGCGTTCCTTCTGCTTCTCCTTGCGGAGGCCGCGATACCTTATTGCGCTTGTCCCGCAATCTCGCCTGAACATCGACGCTCCTGGGCCCTATCTTTGGTGATCTAATCACTCTTCGAAGTGCGAGCGGAACGCTACGTGTCGTACGCTCGGCTCTGGTTCTGTGTCTGGGTGGGTGAAGAGCTAACATTGCTCGCCGTCGCCTGATCTCTGACGCCTGGGATGTCTCCTGCTTCGGCGGCTGGGGCTAAAGGAGGAAAGTCCACATTACTGCTTCGCAGAAAAATGAGAACGCCTCCCAGTTCCACTCGCTCCGCACCATTATCTCGACTAAGGCCGGACTCTAGATCGGCGCCGCCGATCACATGAGGACAAGGCAGTGCTCATTCCAAGCAGAGCAGTCCACCACCGTATGCTTGTTATTATACCGGTTAAGGACTCATCGGATACCAGTTTTATATTGTGAGTATTAGGTACGCTACTCTGTTCGAGACACTGTCTACTTTCTTACCAAAGCTGTTAGCGAGAGACTTGTGAACGAGAAATCCGATTGTGAACAAGAAATCCGATTCCTGCTCAACAATCTTCTCAACGGTCCTCAGTGTACCTAAGGATGTCGGGTTTTGCTAGAACTAAAGATCATATACATACCTGATCCGTTACAAAGTTCAGGAATAGGGGAGCTGGGCGCTGGAGTTTTTTCTTTTTATGGGTCAGGTAAACTTTATAAATAGGTAATTATTTTGGTACCTAATATTTTTGCACCGATTGCTCTTAACTAGCGATGTTGCTACTTTGGTTCAAAATTATCTAGCAGCTGTCCCGTGACAACAACAACTAGTCTGTCAGTTATGACAGTGACAGTGACGTATAATATAATATAACCTATAGTTGCATTGCAAGATATTGATTTTGTTATTAAATCCAAACCTCCGATCTTCGATATTTTTCAAGAACAAAAAGTAAATATTTTCTTAGATAACAAAAATATATTTGCCTTTAATCCGTTAAATAAGTCTTTATGCGACTGCTGCGGTTTCAGTGAACTAAGCTTCATGCTGCTTCATGTTATAAAAACAAACACAAAACATAACACTTCTTTTTTTGGGGCAGTTGTGTAAAAAGGTTTGTCAAGTAAATAAATGTATTACCTTAACCTTTCATATACCTATCCATTTTTCATGGTAGTAGTCACTGCACACACTATAGAACAAGTATTTCATTAGCTTCACTGTTAATTCATTGTGATAGCCATTTTGTTTCACTTTGAAAAGCGCTTTTTACTTTCAGTGTCAACTAACAACTTAAATGGTTTTGAAATCATAAAAGCTGTTGTTACATTATAATGTAAATCTATAAGTACTTAATAATTATTATAAATGTGAAAGTAACTCTGTCCGTCTGTCTTTTCTGCACGCCTAAACTACTGAACCGATTTCTGTGAAATTTGGTAAAGACATAGTTTGGAACTCGAGAAAGGACATAGGATAGTTATTATACAAAAAATGCAGGAAGTCATTATTCCACTGCGAACAGTCATGGGCAAAATCTAGTTAATTAATAAACCAGAGCTTGAGATTTCAAATTTATCAGTATGAGTTAATTTAATTAAGTCTTAATTTCAAAACTTGAATTGTTTTTAAGACTTGGCTTAGTCATGAACTTGAGTTGCTTGAGGTAATACTACCAGATAATTTTATTTATTGTCTTCTAAAATACAGAATATGAATGGTATCAAATATTGTCTTATTCATCATCCAAAGTTATTTTAAATATTCTCATTACATATATTTATTAAAAGAAACCCATTGTTTTTATAAAAAATTATATGTCAGTCATTGCGGCTCAATATGCCTACTAGAAATATACAACCACCATCAAATAAATATAGGGGCGTTCTCTGTTTACAATTTATCTAGTCATACTCAAACCTCCTAAATATTGAAATAAGAAAGTCATCTTAGATAGGTTCACCCAAGCATCATAGTTATTGGTTTAGTTAAACAATCAATGATATCAAATTTATTGTTACCAACTCTTACGTAGTTGAATATTATCAAAGTGACATGATAGCTATTATTCACTACATTAAAAGGTGGAGATCAATAAGTGTACACCCATCTTTCACTAAGACAAGCTCAGGATATAGCAACAGGCCATTTGATATCCTTATTTAATATGTTTTATTATTTTTTATCATATAATTGATTTTTATTGCCTGTTGGTAGATATTACACAATAGGAAATACATGCATCCCTTGTAATAAAGACTGCACAAATTGTCATTTCTGTTATCATTAAAAAATGACTTCTGTAACTATGAAGTCAGCTAGTAATAGCAGTAGCTATGTAGCTACAGATGTAATTTTTGTTAAAAACAGTATTGACTATAGCACCAATCAGACAGCATGTCACAATCCTAAGCACTGAATACAAAACCCTAAGTTCCAATGCATTGTGTGGTATGATATTTAAACCTAAATCAGGCACTCAAGAGTGTCGAATGTGTAGAATCATGCCATCTGATTGCCGCTTACTGCATTCTTCATAATGAAGGCAGCATTGTGTCCCGGATGTATACATTTTCCAAAATACAATGGGTATTATTAGTTGTAATTTCACAGCAAGTATTAGTTATTTCAGATCTCGCACATATATTCAATGCTAATAACATAGGGAGCAGTATGTACATACATAATAATATACTTGTTTATTCCTTTCTACTAATAGAGAAAATTATACTGTAAAATTTTGCAAAAGCATTGATATCAAAGCAATGGTGCCATAGCAATGTTGAAATTGATAACTTAAATATAATCAAGAGGTTCGCAATACAATACATTCGCAGGATGTGATGCAATCCTTTAAGTTTAGTGAATTTAGCAATTGCAATAAAATATTTCATTGTTTTATGGATATTGTGTGCCTGCAAGGGCCTGCTTTACTATGCCTGGATAGCCACTATACACCAGAAGCTGATATAGAACCTTATTTGTATGATTAATGGGCCACATAACTTCATCTGGAACTTTTATAAAGGTGATGAATCAGACCCTTTGGGTTCTAGGTATAAGATAATATTACAGTTGAAAAAAATAATAATAAATGACCTCATAAAACGTATTACAAAAGACAAGATATAGGAAGTCCACCAGGGCAAGTAGGTACATATAATTTTTTCAAAATTGTAATTGTTACCTGCGAAAATTATACTTCAAAATATAGCTTACCTCCCGATCACCATTTCGTCTTAAGTCTTTTGTGTCGTCACTGGATGAAGAATCATCTGAACTAATAATTATAATTGTCTCCATTTTTCATAGACCCTTCGAAGTGCAGTAGATAAAGGAGCTACCGACTACATAATATTTTTATATTGTTAAAGATATAATCGTTGTTAAAATGAACATAAAACGGAGCCTTTATTATAGAGGCAATCTACCCTCTTTTTACTAAAAATAAAACTACAAAACTGAACAAAGCCTGGCCGCGTTAGTGTTGACACTATGAAAAAAAAGTATTGATTGATTGAGCTTTGCTACCCACGTATCAAAATTGGTAATTTTTAATTCTAAAACTGTACCTTTACGTATTTAAAATTACCAATCATCATTTAATATTTCTAAATTGTAATTAATTATAACGGCGTGTAGAAATACGTTACTAAAGAAAAATAATTAGGATAATTGTTTAATTTATGTCTTTATTATTAAGCTAGGTATTATGCCTATTATTAACGTCTATCTAGTGCTATTATTGATAAATGAAACAGACTAAAATGTGGTATATTTTTTCAAGATCATTATATACTATTTGTAATCTATGTACTTATAAGGTACGGAAACGTTATTCATAAAGGTGAATGCTTAAGTAAGTAGGTAGACGACAACATTTTTATGCTATTTCTGTTTTTTGGAATTTTTGGCTCGAAATACCATAGTACAATAATAATACTTGCGATGATGACATGTATGTGTTTACCATCAACATAAGGTTAAAGAGACACATAGGTGGCGCGGCCTGTCGTGTCGCGACAGAACGCCCGGTGTCATAAATTTCACAGACTTAACAGCAATAATCAAAGTTAACAGCACATGACCCGAATCAACACGAAAGCCAACCAAAGTGAATGTATGAAATCGTAAGCTTCTGGTGAGATACACTTCTACGTTATAAAAATGCATAACTGGCTAGCCTAACTGAAAAAAAATAACTAGCAATGTCAACATCTTAGAGATAGTATGTATAAATGTATATCGTTCAGCGCGTACCTACCTTTCAAACTAACAGACCTCCACAAATGTGGTCCACTAGGGCTGATGTAGCGCTGGAATTGCAAGTGCTATGGGTAATGTATCACGACCCAGCTTGAAGCAGGTGAAGAAAAGGGGTGGTTTTTAATCAGTAAGAGTCTGACGCTTCCTCGCATCCCACCCAGAACGGATGAAGTAATTGAATAATATCTATATCTTCTTAAATTAAAGATATTATGTTTAACTATGCGCCAAATAGTATTTGGTATGTCGCTCCAGTCTATTTAAATATGAGGGGAAGCTACTTAAAATGACACGACACTCTTTCTTTTCTTTAACAGTAAAAATCCCTGAGATACAGTTGTGTTATCTTTCTAACTGTAGGTATTTACTATAGGAAGTATGGTGAATGTCGTGGAAGAAACCTTTTAGGAAAAAATGTGTCAACGAACAACATCAACCTGTAATGTAAGTACTTGCTTAGAAGATTTGGCAACGCCGAAACCCTTAAAAACAAGCATTAGAAGTTCAACGCTTATAATACTTACTCTTCATTATTTCTAAGAAATCAGAATGATAGTTCTGGGAATTCCTAGAATTTGATCTAGTTTAAGTAATTAGGTAGAGTTTGGGCGTCTGGGGTCTATGCGGCATGGAGTCTAAATAATTCAAAAAATAAAATAAATATTAGTTGAAATATCATACACTATTTTCATCATTCAAAAAGGGTTGACAGAGTAACGACCTTATACCTCTACCTGTGTCTCCGCCGCCCAACACCTTACGTTACAAAACTGCAGTGTGTATAAAAATCATTATTTCCTTTATCCAACTAAGTCTCAAATGATCCATACTCAATTACACCACTCACTCAACCTGTCTCTGCCTCAACCCAAGGTGCGTTCAATTATACTGTACGTTGTGTACCTACCTACGTTATGTCACATGCACATACAATTTATTAAGTATGAGATAAAAACCAGTAAGAATGTCAGTTGTTAAATAAATAAACACTAAAATACACAATTTATTTGCTTTATTCATACTCTTATAGTAATATAATAACATACATAAAATATTTCTTTTTAAACAATAAAATACAGTAAACCTAAATCTATGTTTACATAGGACGCGACCTTCGAAATTATTAGGTATACGTGTACCTACACAATATGCAAAATATAAAAAATCACGAAGATGTTTATTTATGTTTAGTGCCATCGATATATAAAATAAGTCTAAAATACGCATAAACAAATATATTTTCCTCCATATTTCTTACAAATATATAATATTTAAATCTAAACTGTCGTCATAAAGTTCTAAAACTCTAAAAAATTCGCAAAAAATTACAATAATAAAAATTATCTAGATATTTCTACTTACACGCAACTGCAGATTTCCACATCTCTTATATCTCATTTTAAGCTGAATTTAGTACAATAGTACCGAAAGTTTTCTAACTTGTACGTATTCAGTCAATATAACTCGGCACCTGCACTTGTACAACATTAACCAAATGGCAACATTACAAAAAGTTTTATATATAAACAATATAAAATTATCTCACGTACCTACCTACCCAAGACAACTTTGTAGCACATACATTATTGTATGTATGTTTCAATTTTATTTAATTTGTTTTTAAATCACCACCAGCCTGTATTGACTACGTGCGCGACGTTGGCGACGCGTAGCGTTTACTAACATTTGCGGAAACTGTCAAATAATAACAATGAAAACATTACTTATAATTTTCTTAGCAAATATAAATAAAACCAAAGATTAAAATAGTAGTAGTTTTACTGTAAAATGAATATAATAATAAAAACTGACATCTGATCATCCGAATTTGTTTCCAATTTCTGCCGTGTTGTGAGCTGCGGTCATTATCTGTCCGCCACTACCTACTCGCTTTTCACATAGCCAATAGAAGCATTAGTACATAATTTCCTTATAGGTTCTATTAAGGTGCCAAGTTTAGCTAAAGAAACAGAAATTAGGTGCATAATATATAAAGGTTGTACTTAAAAGAACAATTTTATAAGGTTATACTAATAAAATGATAAATAGAGAGCACTTACAGAACAGAGAAAATCATCATTATTACACGGGACTTGTGGCGGTTCGTTCCTAAATAGAAGCGCCATTATACAATTAAATTTTAAAAATATACCTATGTAGGTAAAACAAGAAGGAGTAATTTTATTTTTCAAATTTTTTTAATAAAATTCTTAAAATTATCAGCACACAAATGAATCAGCCGCAATTGCTTAGGACGTGGAGTGTCAATTAGCGTTGGGGCGATATGTTAATGTATGATACTCAATGAAGTCCATATTCCTTACTGCACAGAGTTTGCAGTAACATATTCTCGAGAATAGTCCTGATCCCTATTAGCTAATGGAAGCATGGAAGACGGATAGGAAGCCGCCAGAAAGGACTAACTATTGTAGCGAACATTTTATTGTACAGTAGTAAAAATAAGACAAACAAATTCATAAACTTCTTTTAGCCAAACAGGTATTGCTTACACAGTGTTGATTATTTCTGTTCTGTATGTCAAAAATACTACTAAAGGTCTTAAAGTATTAGAAAAAGGACGGAGTTGCCAGTCTGTAATTACAGGAACAAATTATAAAATTCGCGTGTCTTTTTAATAAGCTGTTTTCACATTTTATAACAATGGGCTTCGGTGGGAGTATATGAAATATGGACAGAAACAGTTATTACAAAAAACATTATTATTACTAAAATATTTCACTTCAAAAACATTGCCATCATTAAATATAACTTAAATTTGATATATTTTACAAAATGTCTGAACTTTGAGCGATTATAAAATGTGACAAAAGAGTACATAACACAGAGAAGAAAAAATATTAATTAGCATAAATTATTGCCATTACACATAAATCTAAAAATTGACATGGATCGTCATAGTGCCTTTATAAAAAACATAATTATTTTGTACAAATTCTGTCAAAACTTTTGCACTATCACGAGTGTAATAAAATTAAAATTCTAATGTTGCCATTTCTTTACCCATCCTATTATCACACAGTAAACAATAGATTTACATGCTACGGGTGTTTTAACTTAATTCCTACAGAATGTGTTTTAGGATTCAAAATTCAAGTCAGCCACAAATTTTGTAGCAAATAATTTGAATGATTTTGATTCTAATAATTAAACCACATTTTTCATAACAAACATTCTAACTTAACTGATAGTTACCTACGAACCTAATCTCAGAAAAATTATATCAGTACATTTTCTACAGCCAAGATGCGAAAGCAAATATAAAGTAGTCTGTAAAAATCAGTCTGATCTAAATTGACAAAAATCATATCTTAACAAAATAATTTCGTTATATTTTTTTTGTTTAAGACTATTATTAGCTTAGTTCACTAACCATTAATCTAAATAACATAATGGATCAAGCAAAAAACAGCAATAGGGAAATTTATAAAATTATTGAGTTGACTGTGTTGTGCTATGGGTAGAATTTAATAATATTTATATAAATAGACATTTAATATGTATATCATAGGTATTATGTAAATTTTATAACATGACTGTATAGAAAGCGCGGTGGCTGAGCAACTAGCTGCCTAGATCGATGTGATGTGTGTGTATGAAATTGTATGTTTGTAAACTCACACACGATACAGAAGGTCCTGATCTATCCAGGATCAAAAATCCTTACAAAAACACTGGCCTAGTTCTAGCTCCATAAGAACCAAAAAAATTATTAAACATGCCCAGCGCCACTATCCCTAATTACTGACCGGATTTTTTAAATCAAGGTTTAAAAATATACCAATACGATATACATCCGTTTGCAAACAAAACAGCTGCACATTTTTAAATGACTACATTAAATCTTCATTCTTCAGTATCCCTCTTTCCAACCTAGTATAATAATAATTAGCAAAATATCCGTGTAAAATGTATATTACACTAAATTATTGTATGTATAGAATATCTAAAGGACTAATAGGTCTTCATAGGAACAAATCATAAAATAAGACGGGACGGTATCGAAATTTCACGAGCCACTCATAATTTATGATGTACATATAAAGCTTCCTAATTCTCTAATAATGAAAATTATCGTTGGAATTTATTTTTACTATCAACTGCAGCGAAACGTAAATCTAAATACACTTATCGACAGTGACGTGTCAATATCTACAAACTGAATTTTTCTTGAGACTTTCTTTTTGTGATTTTTAATAGAGATGCGCTTTTCGCTTTTTGGATCAAATTCTTCTTTATGTTAATATTTAATTGCAGCTTAGAATTCTTCTAATAAATCACCTCCGAAAAATACCAAAAAATGTTTACCTACCTACTACAAAATTAAAGATAAATATTTTGTAGAAAAATGTAAGTTAGTTTGCACGAAAGCGTTTTTAGCTGCGTTTAATTCCCAGAAAATAAATGATCATAAAAAGCTGACGATAAGCACGGAAAAATAGTTAGCTTACACAGTCAAGTTTCTTAACTATTCTATTGTATTTGTTTGGCCTAAAACTACAATATCAGCTCTCATTTCCTAGATCTAATCTAACATTATTCAATATATTGTATTGTATGATTGATTGCTATCAATATGGTAATATAGTATAATTATTTAACATATTAAGAGTCAAAGAATAAGAGATTTCCAATTAAAATAAGAGATCATTGCTGAATGTCATCAATAAGAATGAAGATACATATTATATTGATCGAAATGTTTACTCTATTACTAAAGGAAATGTATCGTATTTTGATTAAATAATGGCTGCGGTTACTAGTACTACAAGCTCAGGTCGGCTAAATAGCCTAGTCACATCAAGTTATTAATTGCTAAAGCAATATGTCAGTGTCTGATATACCAGATACCACTTAGTGGTCATACGTTTAAGATCTAATGAAGTCCCATTGGTTCGTCGGTTGGTTGTCACAGATCACCATGATGAGAGGCTCGCCTCTCCCAGCCCGGTCGACTCCGAGACACATACCTGCTGCAGTGTTGTAAATAGGACTGCCGGCCTGTAAACATTAGTTCAATATGTTAATATTAGACAAAGTTTTTTTGTAGTACAGTCAAAAGCACCTTCCTTGCTTTTTTGACAACTTGTTATATCATTAATATACAGTTTCAAATTCAAAGAACAAATAACCTTAAGAGATCCTCAAGGCATACTTAAAAATAATAAACAGGGTAAAGTTAAATGTACCCGCGACCTAAAGCTAGGTAAATATTTATGAAATAAGCATCTAAGTCTTAAAACCCCTATGTGAATATATGGTAAATGAATGCTTGTAAGTTTTTATTAGTACTACACTCGTCTATTTAGACCGAACTATTTCCAAGTCATACAAGAAATTAACCTACTTTTTATCCTGTCAAATGTACCTGTAATGACCTTCGTCTGTATAAATTGCTTATATTTATATGTCCTTTTTTAAATTATTAATATTTTTATAATACCTATCTGTTTGCACGACACACTCATGTTCCAATAATTATTCAAACTAATAAAATAGTTAAATAACTTACATGACAGATAAATTAATTATTAGTGTGTCCTGCTAATCTCAAGAGCAATATTTGTTTTGTCAACCTTATAGAGAATCAATACTACAAAAATTAGAAAGGGACTCACAGCTCCGAACATTCTATCCCACTCCTTAGGGGATGGTTGGTTATTACACTTCCCATAACTCAGGACCAAATTGTTAAATACATCGTAACATAAAATGTTACCCATCCGCAGCTGATTGCGCAGAGCTCTAATGCTCCACTTATTAACGCTTTTAATAAATTCCACATGTCGGTATGCAGGCTAGAAACGGAACAGTGTCAATTGCACGCTACATGTTGGACATTATTACGTATATTTCATTCATAATCGAATTGGAAATAATAATGCCATGCGCACAAATGTTCTACTCAACGTTTCAACCCTCGACAATACCTCATGCAAAAAGCAGTAACAAGCAGGATGTAATGATGAATCTAGTTACTACGTTCACTAAGACTTACTGTAACGACCAGCCAATAGAGTTCTAAGAAGTAATACATGTAAGGATTTTCCAGGACTTTTCGTGAAGATGGTGGTTTCTAGAAAAGGGCTATGTACACGTTTGCAACGGATACAATGGATGGGTTGTGTGAGATACTTACAGATCCCTTGTGTTTCCACTCCTGCGAGCCACCAAGTTCATGGCATTTGCTCAGCTTTGGCGCAACATTGTTGGATGCGTCCAAGCAAAGCGTGCGTCCTAATACCAACTCGAAGCGACTCGTTTCGAACCACATCTGTAATGTTAACAAGTATTTAGAGTTTTACTTTTACGTTACTTTACAAAAATCTGGTTTAGACAGCTACAAGAAACATACGTAATTATCTAAAACATAAGTAATCCGAAAACTCATTGACAGAAAATATTGCAAGACTACGTCAAAGATACAAGTTATATGAAGTTTATCATTCCACAAACATTACATAATAATGTCAGCGAATACCGAACATAGACAGCCAAACATTTGCATGCAAAAAATAAGGTACTCATGTGTTACCTATGATAAGTTTTTATGTCTGTGGTAAGGCATAAACACTTTTATATACTTTGAAGTTAAACGTAGGAAGAAATATCTTTGTCAATAGACTTACAGAAACGCAATAATGTTAATTTTCTCTTGTAAATCACCATCCTCTATTTATTATTACACCTGGAACTTGCTCTCAAAACTTATCAACATTAATAATAAAATACTCATTCTTCCTGAAAAAAATAAACTAAAAACATGTGTCACCTGGTTCAAGATCCTTATGCAGCTGCCAAGTACTAAGCCTCCCCCTTTGGTCTTTACGTCCTTTTCGCTCTGGATGCATAACGAAGTGTTCTTCAAACGAATTTGATACGAATCAGTGTAATTGCGTTTTCTGTAATTATAAATACATTGAATAAATATATTTTTTTTATTAGCAAATTATTTAAGGCTCGTATCGCTCTATTGAAAACAATTTTTTTAGAATTAGTAAATAATAGTATTTATTTTTTTATAGAATTTGGACTTTAGAAAAAGAAATGTCTCCAGATATGTGCCATGTTCAACATTTGGTGAAGAAGTTTTCAATTAACCTAAATGAAGTGTTATTTTAATTAGATTATTTTATAATAATTTATTTATACTTATGCTGTTGACACGCTGTAAGTAAATCAATAAATACGTTAAGTTTTCAGTATAACATATTGTATTTTTATAATATTTATTTAAAACATCATTATTAAAGAATATTTATAGCGTAAACAAGTGAAGAATAAGCTTTTGTGATATGGTACTCAAAACTTAGATCAATGGGCTGCAATAATATTTGTATTGTGCAATTTATTTATGAAAACAACTGTGAGAACAGAAGACGCTGTAATAATATACCCTTGAGAATAGCAGCTTGGTTTTTTTATTATTATTTTACACTTCATGTTTGGATTCGAAAACAGAATAAGAGTGAAGAAAATAATACACTAAACCGAGGTATGAGAGCCTTTCAAGGGACCTTATTTCAGAGATGAAGTAATCGATCAAGAATTGCTATGGGGAATATACACAAGAAAAATCAGAATATCTATTTACCCCTTTTTTATATATTATTATGTTTATTCATATAGCTTCAACCTAGGGTGGTGCCCTACAAATAATATCGATACCTATATGTATATCTATTTTCCTATCGAATTCAATTAACCCCGTTTTAAAGTACGGACAGACTGGTGGATTTAATTGTGAGATTCTTTACCAGTCAACTACAGGGTGATGCACAAATGTTTTACAGAAAAAAAAATACTTTTCCTTTTGTTTTTACTTTTAATGAGATAGGTCGGCCAACGAGTCTATAGATTACACTCATGGTGAGCAATCGGAGCCGCCCATGCACATTTGTAATACTGGAGGAGTTATACCCAGTGCATTACTGACTTTTTGAGGTTTATTAGAGATTTTGAATAGAAGACTTGCAGATTGGGGGGGAAGGATTGAGCCTACGGTAAACTCACACTGTAAAGTATGACAGTGTTTTTCTATGCCAAGTATTTAGTGAGGGCGTGGAATCATTCCTGTCGAGCCAGCCCATACGAGCCGAAGCATAGCTCTTATTATATTGCCATATACTGGCCACGATACCTATTAGTGAGAATTTCCGAAAAACCCGAAAAAAATGTGGAATGTTTCGAACCATGTTCTATCTCTGTATCACCCTAAGATAGACTGGTAGAAAATGTTGGCAATAAGTACGCTATTATGCAAAATGTATTTAAATGAATAAAAATATAAAACCACCACTCAACTGGCCAAGAATATTTATAACATATCGAACCCATGAAGCGATTATACTTCGTTACTTGAATATGCTGTTTCACACTACATCAACTTACGATATACCAGAGTTCATTAAACTACTTGTAAGTAGAAAGGAAATTCTGTAATGTTACACAATATACTATATAATATCGCAACAATGTTTTACTTGAACGCTTCTCCTAACTTTCACATAGTTTGTTGAACAACTAACTACACAATAATAAAACTCGAAAGGAATAACCGATATTCAAACATATCTTAGCACATTGCTTAGATTTTATCAAAGGGTTTGATAAAATCTTATGCCTTCAGGAATTTTCTCGCAGATAACAACAGCGACCATAATAAGGTGGTGTAGAAAAATCAAGAAAATGGTGAGAGGTTTTCGAGAAGATCTCTCAACCCACACGCACATCGAAGCCAGGACATGTTTTCCCCAGAACAAAATAAGAATAAAAAGAAACAAACGCAACGAGTATGTATCACCTAATTGGTACATACATAAGAGATACAAATATTTATACAGACACACACCTATAAAATTAATAAGTATATACGATGTGAAAATATATGATCAGCAGCCAAAAACGAGATGTTAAATCATTATCAACATGAATAATTCTGTGCACTTACAGATTTATATTTTTTCAAAATAGTTTCAATATAAAGGTAAGTATTTACCTGGAATGCCACGGCTGGAACTTATTCTTCTCTACATCATTGAGGGCAGCTATCCTCTTTTTTACCACTTCATTCTCACCCGTCTCTAGTTCAGGATAAATATTCTCCAAGTACCATTTAAAAGATTTGCAATTTAAGCTTTTGCGCAAGTTGTGTCGAGACGTTAAGTCACCAAGGTCCAGGTTGGCGGCCGACGGATATTGCTCGATCACCTTGTTCTGAAATATATGATGGCAAATAAATACTGGCTTGTAAAGCTGCAATGACCTTTTTTCAATCTCAAACCTGACTGGCCATTTTAGATAAGAATAGGTTAAAAAAGTATTAAGTATTGTTAATCATAAAAAATAGATCAGTAGTTTCAAAAAAAAAATATTTCAACGTTTCAACATGATAAAATATTGAAGAATAACTATAATATCATTCATTGACGACACACTTAATCATGGATATTTTAAAATTTTTAAGAAATGAGGTTTTTCTTGTCGCAAAAATACTTTTACTTGCGAATTCGTACAAGTTTTATAGCAGAGTACCGTTTTTACATAAGTATCTATAGACAAAAGTGTTAAATCTGACTAATTGGAAACTACTGTATTTGACTATCATACTTTGTAGGAAATATTATAGTGCACAAGCAAAGACAGGTGCACTTTCTGTACCCTCACACTCTGAATTCGATGGGAGGGCAGAATAATATAAGCGGAGAGAAATTAAGCGCAGGAGCAACGGCTTTATAATTATAAGCTTTCCGAGGCCCAGGAGCGATAAACTTTTAAATATATAATGGCAAGGGCACATTATGATTTAATAAGCCTTAGTCGAGGTTGCGGTTCAAGCGCAATAAGGTACCGCGGCCTCAGCCTGGAGCAGGAGAAGGAACGGGGGTTGCTTAATTCATAAGAGTCTGACACTACCTCTCACCATATCCTGGCAAAAAAAAAACAAAAATAGCTTACGTTTCTGCCAACCCCAACGGGCGGCAGTAGTGGCAATAACGAAAATTAAAAGGCATCAACTGTGAGTTTTCTTGCTTTTTCAATTTTTATAACATTTTATCAATATGTTTAAGACTTTTGCTTAGATGATTGCGTTCACACGCTATTTAAAAAATCCATCAGATGAATTAACAAAAAAATATTTGACATTATATTTTTCTATTATGACGTACGAGTAAAATAAAAAGAAAACAAGGTATAAATACTGTTTAAAAGCGAAAGGTTGCTACGTCACCGCTCCTCAGTATCAAATGTAATAAATTGTGACGTCAGATAATATTTCAAATCATCACGTAGCCAAAAGACTATCATTTCGTAACGGAGAAAAGAAAAAATACATATATCACGATTTAAAATAATGTACAGAACAAACATTCAAAAATAACACCTATAAGTATATATAAAAGAAAGTTGTGTTAGTTACTCCACTTATATAAGTCAAGAACGTCTGAACCGATTTAGATGAAATTGGCAGGGAGGTAGTTTAGAGCCAGGAGAAGGACATAGGATAGGATAGAGTAGGTAAGGTAGAGCAGGATAGGTAGAGTAGGGTAGGTAGAGTAGGGTAGGTAAAGTAGGATAGGTAGAGTAGGGTAGGTAGAGTAGGATAGAGTAGTTAGAGTAGGGTAGGGTAGGCAGAGTAGGGTAGGGTAGGTAGAGTAGGGTAGGTAAAGTAGGATAGGTAGAGTAGGGTAGGTAGAGTAGAGTAGTTTGAGTAGGGTAGTTAAAGTAGGGTAGGTAGAGTAGGATAGAGTAGTTAAAGTAGGGTAGGGTAGGTAGAGTAGGGTAAGTAAAGTAAGGTAGGTGGTCAAATGACGGGAGCGACGCCGCAGTTAAGAGCTAGTTTGGCATACGTATACCTAAATGTCATGATTATTTAATACCTTGATATCGTTAATATCAGCATTCGTGTAATAATGAGTTTTCTTTCTGATTACACAAACTCGGTACGAAGTTCACCGGTTCACTATTAATGATAAATAAACAAAGTGGAACAAATGTGATAGCAGTCATCGACGTGTTATGAAATCATTGCTAATTCAATAACTTGTCTGGCCTTAACAGTTCAATCGGACATTTACAAATATATGAATATTTAATAAACATGTTTCTTAGTTTTTTGCGACACTGTTGACGTGTTTCACTTGAACTTAAGAAGCTAAAAAGTAAAGATTTTTCCGAAACGTGGTCGTGGTGGCCCGGAGGTTAAGGAGCCGGCTTCTCATGCCAAGTGACTTTTTCTGAGTTAAATGTACTTTCTATGATTATTTGGACACCAATGATATACGGTGAAGGTCACATCGTCAGGAAACCTGGATTTATAATTTCTACTTATAAGTTTGAAATCGCCAACCCGCATTGAGAAAGCGTGGTGATTAATGCTCAAACCTTCTCCGTGTGAGAAGAGATGATGATGATTGCCGAAACATATAGTTATTTATGTCTTTATTAGACAATATCGTTTTAGTTTCGTCTTAAAATCGTAAATATACTATCAGTAACAGAGATTACTTTGAGATACAATACTATCAGCCGTTTAACCGTGGCTTTTGTCCGGATAAATAACTATACTTATATACACATATACCTTTCGTACTTCCAAATATAACTACGAATGTAAAATTTCAAGATAAGCAATTTTTTCTCTGGTCTGATACAGGTATAAAGATACCATTCAAACTTACTTTTTCATTTATAATGGTGTTATCACTTTGCAAACTTATTTTAGTTACCTAAGAAATAATAGAAAACGGTCCAGTCAATTTGTAACTAGGTCACGATGCACTAAAACGGACGCAGGGTAAAAAGGAAATTAAATCTACTGACCACGTAATCGTCCATCCAGACTCGAGCCATCCGCATCGAGTTATGTAACATGAAGTCTACTTTATCCCCTGCGCCATAAGGTCGTCGTTTACGGAAAACATGGCCAACCCTACTGCAGGGAATCAGCTCCAGCGAACCGCCACACATCCATATCTGAAAATATATTTTAATTAAATATTATTATAATTTCTTTAGTTAGGCAGACTTAGGCAAAATATATTAGCATGTTTTTTTATGTAATAGATCGGCAAACGAGCAGACGGATTACCTGATGGTAAGCTATCAGCGCCGCCCATGGACACTCGCACTCGCAAGGAGGAGTTACGAGTGCGTTGCCGACGTTTTAGGGATTTGAAGATTTAGGAATTGAGGAGGGATTGGGGTGGGGAAGGATTGAACTTCCGGTAATCTCACTCACACGGCGAAACACAACGCTGTGGTTATTTCACGCCGGTTTTCTGTAAGGCCGTGGTATCACTCCGGTCGAGCCGACCCATGCGTGCCGAAGCATGGCTCTCCCACTCTTAAAACTCCTTACATCGCATTCACATAGCTGGTATACCATTTGCCTTATCACTTGACGAAACAATCGAATACGATGCAATGGCGAGTTACCCTTTTCTTACATCCGTGGTAATTTGCTCTTTTTATTTACATCCAAAAAAACCGCACGAGGTCAATAGCGATCGCTAAATTTTTTATGCGTTTTCGTCATTCACTTGAACAAACTCTCACGAATTTGTATACGAAAGTAAAGTAATAATTCTACTTACCCGGAACGATATCTCCAAGTTCTCACCACCCCAAACGTGCATGCCCTCGTCGTATTTACCAATGTAGTTGAAATATTCACGATAAATTGCAAAAAGTCCACCGGCCATAGTCGGTGACTTTATAGGTTTCACGAAATCTTCGTCGGCTGAAAATAACATTTATTTGTCAACAAACAATACCTAAATATTTTACTTAAGCTAATAATTGGAAGAGCAATTTTACATGGAGTTGTTGTTACAAGCAGACAGTTATATACCATTTATAACAATCACAATACAACTAGAAAATTGCAGTTGTGTTTGAACTCAGCATAGCTTCAGAACAAACCAATCACTAAACAGCTTATGTATTGTTTACGAATAAGACCACGATTTATAAAACAAGCGATAAAAACCACTTCGAAATCGATTTACCCAATTGCGAAATAATCGCGGAAAAATACACAGGTCAAATTAAAAATATACTCTTTTCAAGGCAATTAATTAAAAAACTTACTTTTAAGCGTTCCTTTCGGCAAGTTGTCCCATTTGAAATGCAAGCCCCAGTTAAAACCTCCGCGGACTAACGGACTGGCTGTATATTCAAATGTATCCGCGTTGATGACATCAATGACTGGAGTAACCGCACGATGAGAGAACCTCGTTTCTTTGTCCACTCCTTCAGCAAGACGAGCCAGCAGAGGCGGCAACCAATCAATGTTCACTTCTATATGAGAGTCCAGGAAAACCAGAACCTAAAATAATGTTATAGGTATCATCAACAGTCCACGCTATAGCAACTCTTTGCTGGGCTATTTACCATAAACGCTACGCCGGGAAGGAAGGTTAAAGATCGCAATTTAAAAGGCAGAAAATGCTGCGGCCCGATCTCTGCAATAATGCATACGCTCTTACAAACCCGAGGAGTCATCCATAATCATATATCAACGTAGAGGAAATTAGTTTAGTATATGTCTTTTGCCTTTAGTATCTGTGTTGTATCAAACTCGATACTTTAATTATATCGTGATAAAAGCGGCATGATTTTTTGGGTATTAGCCAAACAAATCACCTTCTTAGAAATATGTTTTATCAAGGCAACAAAAAATATGTGTTTCAATGGCTCAGTACCTATACGAGTTACATGCGTTGACAGCTCGACAGGTTTTCAATTGATTCAGGGCCTTCAAGAGGCGCCCGTAACATTTAGGGAATTACATAAGAACAATAGTTGATTACTTACTTCGCCTACACTATTTTCAGCGCCATAAAGCCTAGCTCGTATTAGCCCTTCTCGTTTGCTCGTCTTCAACAGCCTTATACTTAAAACATCTTTATTTCTCTCAGTGGTTTTCTTATCCACAACATTGTTATCATCATTAATATAGTCCACAACATTCTCCACATCAATATTGTTGGTTTCAATCATTTCCTCCTCTTTTCGCATTCTGTTATTGAGCTCATTGACTGATTTCTGGACAGCGTCGTGTAGCCCATCAATGTCACTGTAGTCATCAACGAGTATGATCTCTTTAAGGTATTTCATATCAGTGCGGTCCAGTATAGAGTGAACGGACCTCATTAGAGTCTGGTAATGTTCATTAAAGAAGCAAATTATGACAGAAGTTTTCGGCAGTTTCTCAGTATATTTTTGTATACGGCACCTGGAACATATGTTTAGTCATGTAATAATACTATGTTCTCATTATAAATTAAATTATCAAGAATATTGCGATACGTTATTACCTTACCTTCATTTTTAGTCCCTGAGTATATTAATGTAAATAATACTTACAGTTTATTTCTAGTATCAGGTAAACCTCTATGATTTCCAATCCGTTGAGAGATTAATGTGTTGAATGCGTGAACACTGTAGCCGCTATCACGAATCCTTACATCTTCTGCATTCCGGATCAATCCAAACTGATTATCTATGAACAAGTAAAAAATCACAAGCTGTAATTAACAAACTTATAACATCGTTATTGAAACAACGTAATAACAATACTTAAATAGAATTTAAAACATATTTTTTGTTAAAGCATAGCAGGAAAGCAATATTTGATAGCCATCAAACGCAAGACAGTATGAATAGTTTTAAATAATTCGCATTTTCTGTTCTGTTCGAATTTGTTTAGTTCAACATATCAATTAGAACGCATGTAGGTAAATATTCGCCGTAAAGGAACAACTTAGATAAGGCTAATGTTAATTTGCCCATGACTTTGGTACGACATTTAACAAATTAATTTAAAAAAATACGAAGTTCTTTGTTGTGCTGACACAAAGAGCATTATCTTGTTATGGAAACCAAGTTATAACTGATATTATGGCACAAGTGGGGATATACGTCACCCTAGAAGGATGAGCTCTCTTATACCAATTATGGAACAATTGCACTTCGTTACAGTACAAAATTACATTCGCTATGCCATATATTTACATAGGTCAAGTCGCTTTCGCATATGACAGAGGTCATTAACACGAGATAGATATTTCGCGATGCAATGAATTGTAATATAGCTTTGGCTGTATCACTGAATTCGCTACATATCAAAGATAACATCACGCCTTCGCCTAGCTAGAAAATAGACAAAAGCGCAAGTAAGACAGGTAAATATTTCGCCATTTATGTAATTTAAGCCATGCAATTGTCGACAAGTCTTCTATTCGAGGCAAGGCAATTATTGTATCACTAGCTATTCTCGAGCGGTTTCACACGCTGCTCAGCCCCATTTGATCAGTTTTATAGCCTATAGCATTCAGGAACATTGTAGCTATCTATCAGTGAAAGAATTTTGGCAATCCGACCAGCGGGTCCAAAGATTACCCCCTACATACAAACTTACAAATTTTACCTCTTCATAATATTAGTATAGATAGACTTAGCACTTAGTGCAAGTCATTTTTATGCTAAAACTATCAAAACGGTACTGGTATGTTTACCCCTGATTGGCTGGTTAACTCAAAACGGACCAATTAGAGCACTTAACGTCACAAAAGTGTCGATCTCTTTAAAATCAAATTCGCATTAGGAGGCACCCTGATAATCAACACTTTTCCAAGGTCAGAAATGCATCGGGTAATAAAATTGGCATCAACATAACTCATTACAGATTTCTTTCAAGCAAGTAATTCAAGTGTACAATAATGTTATAGAGTGCAACCAATTGACCACATCATTGCATATGCTGTTAAATTCAATCTATCGACTGTAGTGCTGATAGTAATGTGATCAGAACATTTAAAATGATCATTTAAAATAGAATAATGCAATGGTCGGCTTTTACCGACAAATCCAATTTACGTACTTAATTATGACGTTTTCAGTTCGGCTAAGCTCAACATTGCTGAAATAACCTACTTTTCGTTTGTCTTCTATAGCTGACCATGGTTGGTTTCAATTTTTATATCAACTTATGTAAGTTATTAGGAATCCTTATATTAAATATTGACTCTTTTGTTGTTGGATTTGCTTCATTGTCAATAAGAAAACAACAAACAAAATGCCTATTCACCGGAAAGGAAAAAAGACTACTTATACTTATTCTGGTTGCTTTAATATCTTAATTCCTAGTGCTCAATCAGCTTTAAGTCCTTGTTAATAAAAAGTTTTTCATAATTGTATAAATAATAGTGTAAGAAGTAATTGCCTTGCATTATATACATACCTAAAACTTAACTATTGAAATGACTGTAGCTTCTTATACATCATCTCTTGTAAAAAGTTATCAATAAATTTGATTCTATAATTCTTTTATTAAATTATTTATTATTTATAAACATATGTATACACTAACTATCCATGACTACCCATGTAGCTTTACACTATTTTTAACATGACTACAAAGTAAGTTCTTTGTGGCTCAGCAGAATGATATATAGGTGCATTCACATGATACAGAAAATTGGACCGATTCTCCTAACAAAATGAAATGATATTGGTTCAATTATGCATAGGCAGTGCACGGACAGTAAATGAAATTGTTCAAATAATAATAATGTTAAAAATTTCATTAAAAAACAAGACATCATCAAGGCCCACTAAATCAATCAAATTCAAAATGAAATTCCATATTGGTCTTTAAAATTTATTGTGGTATATCAATATAATGTTTATAACTAGGGATAAAATAGTTGCATTAGTATTTTTTATTTCTCTGAAATACATGTAGTGGTCTCGATAACGGCCTGTTTTCCCTTAGTTACTTCTTGAATAGATTTTAATGATTTTAGAATTAATTGGTTGTGAGGCATCTGCTAGAAATAATCAATTAATGAAGGCTTACCCAACGAATTGTCTGGCTGCGCAGTCATCTTCAGACCAAGGTGCTTAGCATATTTCTCTTTTAACATCATCTTGCTATAGTAATCAGATTTACCTTTCTGATACTTCCACATGTTGCCAGAAAACTTGTCATTGACATTTGCATTATCAAGGAGTAGATTTTTGCCCTCTAGTGTTGCTATTGATCGATCATTGTTTTTTAATTGATTCTTCTGGTCAGTATTTACAAATCTATAACTCAATCTGTTTTCTGTACTGTTTATTGTGTTCTCCCCTAAAATTAGATAAGGAGGTCTTAATGTACAAAAAGATATAATGTTTATATAAAAATAAAAGATATTTTCGTTTAACTGAACAAGCTTTAAAAAGTTACTTTTACATTTTTTTGTTTTGTTAGGATCTAACTAGATTATTTTTAACTGTTATCGTTAGGAACTACATGAAAGAATATTAACATTCAAATGGGAAAACCATTGGAACAGTACAGCAGAGAGATAAAAATATTATAAGTTAATATTTGAATATTCAAATTGTCAGTCACATTGCTGAAAGTTACAACAGTTACAGAGAGTTTTCTCATAGAAGTTAAATATATCAATGTAATAAAAACAATAGAAGGTCAAATTTGTGCGTTTACAGTATCTGCCATAACAGCACTAGGAATAGTAATTTATTAATAGTAGTAATAGTAACTGGGATTACAAAATATTAACTGGGTGTAAATTTAATCTATATAGATGAGGTTTTATAACAGATATTGCCACTTAGGATACTCACTCAACAATTTTTACTTATTAAATGTAGCTTTAGTAATACTTACCATTCAAATTCAGCAACCAGTATAAATAAAGTGATATGCTCCAAGTTGCTGAAGCAAAGAATATACCCCACACAAATGAATTATTTAATTTACCCATTCTTCTTCTCAACATAACTAATGTATTTTCGCCACAAAAATAACTTTTAAGTACTCATTATAAATTAAAAGATCTCGAAAACTTTACGATTGTACGGCACCCAGTAAGTAGACGAGCGACTTTCGAATGAGCAGAAACGACGACCCGTGTACGATGTGCTCTCTGTTATAAAATCAAAAGATTTTATGAGACTTGTTTAGTTTGCACAGGAAAAATTGACAGACAACGGCGACAAACCGATATAATAAACATTTATACTAAAACTATTCATACAGAGCAACACACAAGTCACACAACACAACACGAACTGACTGACAGACGCGATGACAGTGTGACAAGTGACAACCATTTACCCTGCAGTATTGCCAACTTTGGTAATACTTTTCCCTTTTAAATTGGTTAAAACTTGCTCGTGATAACAAAAGTGCTTATTTGAATTAGTTAAATCAACATAGCTTCAGCAGATGCTGATAAAGGAAATATCAGATTTCACAGAAAGGTTATTTTGATTTATGTATATATTAAAAATAAGTAAAAGAGTTCTCTTCAGAAGCTTGGTTTGAATTGAATCGAACACATTACGTTTGTGTATGAGACCACCTAGCTTCTTTAAGGCTAACTTAGTCTTACCATCTAAATGACCGTGGAACTGGACTTCGATCGATATGTCGACACAAAATATGGCCGAGGTTGTTAGAGAGGTACTCTGAGATTGACGAGATACGACCAACTACAGGTTTTTACCGGAGCACATGCAGACCAAATTAAGTCTACCCCAATCTGAGATTCTCTATAGAGAGGTCACGATGTCAGACACAAGTCTGTTTCGAATCTCGATGACATTTTCCCAAAAAATTTGAGCACGGCCGGTGTAAAAGGCATCACCCGTGCTGTCGTCCGCATAACAATGAATGCCACTGATCTGCAGCATATCATTCACAACTATGGAGGAGGAACTGGGTGGACGATAGCAGGCAGCTTTGAACCAGCCTGTGAACTTTGATGTATGTAATATGCTTCTCTCTGCGAGGAAGCTGGAAACCCGTTTACACAGTTTCTCTGGAAGCCTATAAGAAGAGCAAACCCGATCGAAAGCCTTCGCTACGCTCAAACTAACCACCATCGCTTTGCCCCTGGACTTGACCGCCTACGCCCAAGGGTGTGTCAGGTCAACTAGAAGATCACTAACGGACCGACCCTTTCTGAAACCGTACACTCAAACATTCAATGATCGACTCCATTATTTTCGATAAGAGGGAAGTTATGGCTATCGATCACCTTTTTTGGCGATTGGGTGGACTAAAGATGTCTTCCATGATGTCGGGACTATGTCTGAAAGGTATTAGAGCCGAAAAAGGCGTGTTACGACTGGTTCCAACTCTGGAGCGCACATCCTTAGCACAATGGGCGTGACTCCGTCAAGTCCTCTTGACGTATGGATGGCAAAGGATATGAGCGCCAATCGTACCGAGCGCTGGCTTCCGTAGTAAACTAGGAACCCTTATGGTTTAGCCATGTCATGTTAGCACTAGAAAACTGAAATTTAGCAACAATACGTACCTATATCAATCACGCCGACAAAGTGGAAACATATTTTATTAGGGAACCCCCCGCCCCCTACACGTAAACTAGCGGGTGATTTTTTTTAATTTCAACCTTTACGTGTGATATATTATTGAATATTTAAATATGAATTCCTAGGATATTTTTTTGATAATGGTAATATTTTCACCCGAGTGTCGTCATTGTGGAGCATATGGTGGCGATGTAAACTGCTTGGGTTGAGCACCGCCATATCCTCGGGGAAGTGACGACATTCAGTATTCAGTAAGCGACATTCCGGGCGTCGGGGTTCGAGAGATGATCTGCGGTCACGTGACTGTGGACGCAAGTAAGGGTACCTAGCTCGCCAACCGACCAAAACCAAACCCGAGCGTACAGCGCGTAGCGTTCCGCGCGGGCTACGGGTTAAGCGCAATGAGTCACCGCGGCCTTAACCCAGAGCAGGAGAAGGAACGGGGGATTTTTAGTCAGTAAGAGTCTGACACTCTCTCTAGCCTTACCCTTGGCGGGAGATGTCATTTGATGATATTCCTCTGACAAAAAAAAGGTAAGAAAATGTGGAAAAAATCTTATAACTAGAAATTTGTACATTTTTTCTAAGAAAATAATTTCGAACTCGATATGTTAAATAGCTACAGAAATATTGGAACTAGTTTTGTAATTAAACCATTGTATATGCAAGCATTTTTTAACTTTGTTATACTTACATATATATTCTATAATTCTGAACGTATTTTCTTTCGAATAAAAAAATAATCATTAAAATCGGCTTACGGAATCCAACATTACCAACCCGTCTAGTTTGTATTAATTAGTAACCTAATTCCCTAAGAGATGGCGCTGCACTGTTGCTACTTACTTAACTGTGATTTTAATGAAACAATGAAACAATGAAAATGGGCTGAGCGTAGCCCAATACGCTATTGGCCGGTTTTTTTGTATCTTAATTAGAATGAATTAAGAAGACAGTTAAATGCTTTGCTTTAATTGTTATAATTTTTATTTTTATGACACACACGACATTTAATTTTGTTTTGAGATATCAATGAAACAACCGTGTAAGTACTTTTGTTTATGTATTTTGGTATGCACATTTGTTCATTTTAATTTAAGAGCCTGGTTAGATGATTTAGTGGCGCAGGTTTGAAAGCTCCCACGAAGTACTTAAAGGTTAGTTACGGCACACATTTATTCAATTTTTGGTTAAAACTCTGTCAAATGAAAATACTTTCTAAGTATCTGTTTCAGCACCTATGAACCTTCAACCCGTCACAAGAGAGTAGGCAAAGATCCAATATACATCTACTTTTCATTCAACAATTATGTTACGAGTCACATTTGATAGATAATGAGCCTTTAGAAGTGGATAAGTACCATGAAGGGCGTTTTTATAATCCTTTTGTGTAAGTAAAAAAAGATCTAACAAAATACAGTAAGATTTGTAAGAATAAGCGTAAACACAAAAATGCATTAAAAAATCTGCCTCATAGGTTTTGAATGGATCCCGTTTTTACTCCCTCAGTTGGTCAGTTCCACCAGACAATTTGGCATCGAATAAAATCCTTTCATTATCAGAGTTACATGGGGCTCAATTAACAGAGGTCACAAAAATATATGCTGAAAAAACGTAGAGAACCATCTCTATAAGAACTGACTGACAACTATCTCCATAAGTCTCTAAATCTTCAAATCCAGTTGGTCCCTACGACGAGTAACTACAAATTTTGCATCGCAGGTTCCCCTACTATATTGTCATAAATATATCAGGCACAATTTGCAATGTTTGAGTTCTCCCTAAACTTGGGAAAATCTGCTTTAGCCGGCAACTCTGAAAGCGGACAGCATTCATAGACAATCCAGACAGTTGCCATGTATTTTTACATATCAGAACGGTAGATTACTATTAAATTAAAAAAATGTGCCTTTGCAAAGTAAAAATCATTTTTTTTTCTATCCCTTACTTATAAGATTATAGTAGTTTCCACTAAATAACTCATTAGAAAGAATTAACTTTAAGTAAAACATCAAAATAAGTATATAATAACTTGCTAATCAACTGACAAAATCTTTAAGTTGCTCACACCATATTTGAAAAATAGTAAGTATTGTGTGCTTTTAAACTTGCAACTTTGTTTTGAAAGTATTGATTGGTATTCCCGCTCTATCCCTCTCGCCTCGAAACAAGAGCGCCGGGTTTGAACATAGTTCAGTGTAATTCTGGAATCGGTCGGTGCGGTCGCGTTTCTCTTCTTACCTATTATTGACAAAGTAATACCAAGTTCTAATAAAGAAAATTTTTAAAATGAATAATATTCCCATGTTTTATAATTATCCTACTACTTTTGTGACCATGCAAATAAATACCCATCATCCTGCCATCGCCAACTGGAGTACCCAAGAAAAGTATGAACTCATGAAGGCCTTGAGGCCCAACGATCTTGATATAAATCTGCTGTTAGAGAAGATTCCTACAAAAACTCGAGCGGAAATAGAAGCAGCGATTAAGTTCTATGTGAGCATCGCAAAACATCACCCTATGTTGGCACCACCACCTCCACCGCCAAAACCGCAGAAGAAAGACAAGAAAAGGAAAGCGTCAGCTTTGAATGATAGACCAGATGATACGTTGCGCGAGTTGGAAGAAGAACTTAAAGAAATTATGCCTACTAATGCCCTTGTAGTTGAAACAGCAGCTGCAGTTCGAATGATTTCCGAATATGATGTTGCTTCGTCTATGGAAACAAACCACTCGATTGATTGCCAGGATGTGTATAAAGAGATTGCAAACGTAATGCAATCTACATCGGGCACACGTACTGCGGAGTCTACGGTTGTTCTGAATAAACACTCGGAAGAAACAGCTGTGCGAGTTGATGTACTGGATTCCGAGATGACGGAGATGTTGAAAAACATCAAAGTCCCCAAACGTAACGTTTCTGTTACTGCGTCGGCTTCCACATCCGCGTTTGGGTTAGCGAGTGGATCTACCTATGGAGCTTCGGCTTCGTCGTCTTTTCCATCAACCTCAGCGATGGCTTCCACGTCGGCGGCTGTGCACCCTGCAAATAATCGCCAGCAGGTTATCCGGCGTGATATGGCTACTCAGCACAGTTACAACACAATGAACGTGTCAGAAGCACACCTGAGGACGCCGGCTGGATCTTTTGACTTTAACAAAGATCTTTAAATATTTAAGCGGTGGTGCCATGCCTACCCGTTTTCATCTACATACTTTACTATTTATAATCATGTATTTAACCCTCAGTGTCATAATATAATGTAATGATTAAAATGATTCTTGTATTTGACGATCTGGATTAAACCATGAGATAAATTTCGATGTTGTGCGTAGAAGAGGCAGTAGGGGTGTGGGCGATGTTTGATAGGTAATTATTGGGTCTGATCTTGAGCTTAGAAGTCGAGAAATGGTGTGATAACATAAATTTTAAATTTGTGAAACTGTCTATGATTCATTTAAGAAATTCGATTGGATCGGAATTAATCTTTAGGCACTTTCTCTATACTAAGTATTAAATCTAAATTTGTAGTTCTTTATAATATAAGTAAAAGTGTAATACAAATGTAATCTTACCTGTTCATTATATTGGAACAATAAAAGTTACATGTCGTCTTCTCCCTTGTTTTATTTAATTTCTATTCGTTAGTTTCGCTAAAACTTGTGAAAAGCTGGAGTGACATGTCTTTTTGTGGTCTTGAAATATTCCTGAACATGACTGTTCAGGTTTAAAAGGTCAGCAAATTCAAAATTAAAAAATATATATTGTTTTAAGTTGTCGGGTCAGTTAGTTCTGAATCGAAGCAGTGATGCTAGCAAAAAGGAGGGCGGAGCGTTGGAGGGCAGAACGCGCGAAGAATGATCTTCGGCCACCGCAAGCGCAGGTTTGCGGACGGCGTGTATGGGAAGCTCGCCGCACGCAACGCGCCGTACGCTCGGGTCTGGTTCTGCGTGCGATAGAGCACCACAGACGCCGTGAAATTATGTTAGGCAACTGCCTTTTGCCCGCGACTTCACCCGCATTTTATTTGTTTTTCGAAAAAAGTAGGAAACTATAAGGCTAAGAACTCACGGAGCGATTTTCGCCCGCGACCGCTGCGGTAGCGGAACTGCGGTTTTATTTCCAAACTCACGAGACCGGTTATTTGCGCGGTTACACAGCCGCCGCAAACGTGGCGGGCGATGATCGCAAGATTGCAAGACGGGCGGTTAACGATCAGTTGAGGTCCAGACCGCCATGGACACACGCCAGAAACGAGCCGTTGCGTTATATTTACTTCACAGAAGAATTAAAAAAAAGAAGGCCCAAAAGGTTGTGGGTGCATCCACTGATTAAGGACAGAGATCGTTATGGATTATTTGTTACTCTTATTAGTGAATTAAAGAAGGACGAAGAAAAATTCTTTAATTATTTTCGAATGTCCGTATCCGTAACTTTGATTATTAAATTAATAATCAAAGCCAGCCAACCATTTTTCATAAAAAGTTCTAAATAACTATATTTAGAACTTTTAAGAAAAATGAAAACTGCTATTCGGTAACCGCGGCCCGCGCGATTCTACTAGTTGCTTGCCGGTACAGCGGTAGCCGCATACAACGCGTACACCGCGGGCGTAAAACGCATCGTGAAATGTGCTTTAATTTTTTATATAAATATTTGAATTCTACAGAAGCTGTGGGCCCGCAACCGCAAGCGGACGCGGGCGAAAATCGCTCCGTGAGATCTTAGCCTAATATTTCAATCCACAATAATATGGTTATAGTATATTTAATTGGTTGGATAAACAACGTGCGTCGTCTTCTTTTCTCAAATCAACAAATGATGTTGTTTCTGTGAGGGGAAACTCATCAAATGCCTTCTCCCGCCCAGGGTCGGGAGGGAGTGTCAGACTCTTACTGACTAAACCATAAAGCGGTAAGAACCCTCTTTAAGGAGTGGCTTGAGACAAGCCACGGCGTCCTCACCTTCCGCCTGCCGCAGGTGCTTACCGGGCACGACAGCTTCGGTAAGTTCCTGTTTCGGATCCAGCGGGAGGAAACGCCCGCCCGAGTGTCGTCATTGAGGACCACATAGAGGATACGGTGGCGGTGTGTCTAGGCTGAGTACCGCGTGTCGTCAGAGAAGTGATCGGCGGCGGCGACCTCTCGCGCCCGGCCTTAGTCGAGGCCATGGTGCGGAGCGACAGGAACTGGGACGCTGTCTCATCCTTCTGCGAAGCAGTTATGCTCGCAAAGAGGGCGGACCGCGTGAGGGAGCAGTCCTCTTCCTCCTCTTTCCGTCCCCACCATAAGCGCGGGTCTGCGGACGGCGACTAAGGGTAGCTTCCCACCCGACCAGAACCAGACCCGAGCGAACGGCGCGTAAAGTTCTGTGTGCGTCTAGAAGAATCAATAGACCACCACAGACAAGGCCCTTTTTTGTGAGGTTAACATCATCAAGAACCTACCGAGGCTGCCGTGCCTGGTAAGCACCTACGTCAGGCACAAGATGAGGACGCCGTGGACCAAAATTTTTTTTTTATTATTTATGGAAAGGCTTTATCGCTTTGCGACCATATCGCCAAATGGCGATATGGTTGGCTACAAATGATGAGAGTTCTGCACTGTATATAATAATAATCTCAAATAGAAAGACGTTATTAGGATGAACGGTGCACACTCTACCAAGAACATGTTCTTTGAACATACCTGTCTCGCCATCTACACGTCTGCTAAGGCGTCTACGGTTAAAGACGACGCAACTTCCTCATACAATAGGGATTTTGCAAAATTATCAGTTAGGTGTCGAGCCCGGCAACCGTTAAACAAAAATAATCCTTATAGCATGATTCAGTGTTCACGTGCGAGGACGCGATAGCTTATTAGCTTATTTCATGTCTAAGTTTAGTGTTGCTTTACCGATTTCTATGATTCTTTTTTTATTGAGTAGATAATAATGTATAATTTTTAAATTAGGAATAAGTGAGAGTGTTATAAACGTAAATAACATCAAAATGCTCCGAACCGCTAGTTACACGTGATATTGTGAGTAAACCAAAAATAAAAAACTAAGTATAAAAAAACCGACTTCAAAAACAAAAAAGTGTCAAATAAGTAATTAAAATTGATATTTTAATACCACTCTTACGTACGCGAAGCTAATACTTTTAATATTAATAATAAAATACTATCAATTCTATAGTATGTGCTACCTATTCATAGGTTTGAAAAATATAGGTAGATCCCAAGAAATGGGAAAAATCTCATCATAATCATCATCAGCCATTTTAATGTTCCCACTACTAGGACACAGGCCATCTCTCTAGGAGAGGAAAAGTTCTTAACAAATTATAATAAATTAAGTCCAATTCAAACACGAGTTAGCTACTGTAAACCGTTGAGGAGTTTCCTAGACTGTCCTTCGTCTTCATCATCAGATCCCTAATGACAGTCACAATCCATCTAGGTGTAAAGTTCTTATCAAAACGAATTAATTAAGCTCAAACACAAGGAAGCTGCTATGAATCGTTGAGGAGTTCTCTCGACTGTCTGTCGGTTCCATCCGGAATTCCCTCGACGGTCAATGGTCTCCATCATCAGGTAAACTGCAGACCTTCAATTGTTATAATACATACAGGTACAAAGTTTTCATCAATATACATGAATATTAAGTTCAAACACGAGGTAGTAAACCGTTCAGGAGTTCTCTGAGCTGTCCTTCGTTCTCATCATCAGACCCTTAATGACAGTTACGACCAAGCCTGCTGCAATGTGCTCGCCAATACAAATCATTCAAGCCCAAACACAAGGCAACTAATCCAAACAGTCAAGGAGATCCCTCGACTGTCTTCCAGCTCCAACATCTGGTCGACTTCGACCTTCGTCAAGTTGTAGTGTAGGCCTACTTAAACATCATACAAAAAAAACTACTCGCCCCTACAAGTTTCGAAAGTTCTCCTCGGTTTCTCCAGGATTCCATCATCAGATCCTGACCTCATGACAATGGGACCAAATGGCAAGTATACCCTATCGAATAAAAAAAGAATTTTGCAAATCGGTCCAGGCATTTTCGAGTAATCGGAGTACATACATAAAAAAATATACACGTCGGATTGAGAACCTCCTCCTTTTTTGAAGTCGGTTAATAAAAGACAAACATATATTGATGAGAGAAAATTCCCCTGATACAAGATTACTGTGTACCTTAAACCATTAACATTGCTCACGCAATGGAAGTTAAAAAATGGAGTAACTTCTCTCGTTTTCTCAACATTTCCCTTCACTGCTTTGCTCCTATTAATTGAAGCATGATGAAAAGTATCCTATAACCTGCCCAGGAATATGAAGAATAATTGTACTAAGTTTCGTTAAAATCTGTTGAGTAGTTTTTGTTTCTATAAGGAACATACAGGCAGACAGACAGACAAAAATTTTACAGATTACAGTATCGACCGCTTATCACCGTCTGATAGTATAAGTATAGATAGATTAAGTATTAGACATAAGTTTAAAAAACCTTAGGGTTATGAACCATATTCATGAATAAATGAATAACAGAGTTGAAACATTAATAGATTTCGTTAGAACGTAACTAATAACTGCTTGAATAAGACTTGACTGCACGGTTGCTTCAGTGGCTGGCCAAACATTCCATGCAACGTGGCTTTGATCCCCCAACTATAAAGTTTAATTTGTGGTTCACATAAGTGAACCACAAATTGTTGTTTCGTGTGATGTGTATGTGAAATTATATATTTGTTAATGGTACAGGAGAAAATCTTAGTGTGGCATTGTTCTTAATGAAAAGTCACAAAATACAAAGTTAAAAAGGCAAGTAAGTATATTGACTAAAAAATACATCATACATAGACATTGGTTTAATCTAACCTACATTGATAAGGGTGTCGGTAATAAATTTGTAAGGTGGAATTTCTAAATTCTTTGGTGCTGGACCTTTCCTTGCTCTTCCCAAATTATCAAAATGACTGCCATGGCAAGGACAATAGAATCCTCCGGGCCAATCGCCACTGTTGGGGATAGGTACACAACCCAAGTGAGTGCAAATACCGACTACGACTAGCCATTCGTTTTTTTGTGTTCGTTGTTCTTCAGTTTCAGGGTCTCGTAACGAAGACAATGCCGTTGCTTTTTCGGTGGCAATATCTGCAGAAGTTCTGTTTTTGATGAATAATGGTTTTCCTCGCCATTTGATCGTCAAACAAGTTCCAGGTTCCACTTTAGATATATCTACTTCAATGCTAGCAAGAGCTATCACGTCTGCCGGTGCATCCATGAATGCTACATAGTGAATCAGATGAGCCTTCGTGCCGTAAGCTCCAGCCAGTAAACCGAAAAGTCCTATTACGTATATGTATCCTGGTTTATCGTCACCTACCCCCCAAGAAGTTTTTCGAACATCCTTGTACGCATTTTTCCTATATTTGTCAAAATTGGGAAACTCAATGTCACGGTGCAAACGCGGATAATCTTTGCAAAATCTTACTTGTGTCCATATTGTTGGTCCAAATGATACACGTAGGTTACTTGAACATGGTTTTAACGGAAGTTTTTCTACATTTATCTCTTTGGCTTCATTTGATTTGACCAGGATCTTGTTAGCACTCAACAGTTGAGCAGACTTAATAACATCACGGCAGCACGGGGAAGCCCAAAATGTAACACCTCCATACCGCGCACAGCTACTGCCTAAAAAGTTCATGTTTATAAATGTCTACTAGTTAAATATATCTTGGAATCCAAAGATTCTATCATCGTTAATAACAATAAATAAAAACAATTATTGTTTTGCTGAATTGTCTAATGTGGCAGTAGAAGCCTTGACAATTTAGTTTCGAAATACAAAAAAGATACAATACATGGAGGTTCCGGAAAAAAAACAAGAGTGCATTAAAAAACAGGGTTATAATGTAATACTCATAAGATACAGACCTTGTTTTTAATTTGTTACTTATAAATCACCATTCTTGGGGGTTATTAGGGATTTGATGCTTGGGGATGAGGAGGCAAAAAAATTGGACCTCTGGTAGCCTAACTCGCTTGTTTGCTACGTGCAGTGTTTCGTCTGACAAGACGAAGCAAGAAATATTTCACGCTGATTTTCTGTGAGGCCATATCACTCCGATCGAGCCGGCTCACAAAATTTTTTTCATATTTCATTCTCCATCCACATACTATATGTAATGAAAAATAATCATTTGCACTTATGTTTAAAGTCTCTAGTCGAAGATACTTAAGGCAATTTTTAAGGCTCGTTCCTTCTCTTACGCGATACATTATTACGCTTCCACTCATACCTCGGTTGAACATTAGTAGTGAGCCCCATTTGTGACGGTCTGATGGTCATTGTGTATGGCGGATGTAGATAGCAACGCACCGTACACTCGGATCTGGTTAAGGTAATTGGAGATTGTGAGTAGGAATTCCGTGTCCACCTTTACGTCCAAGGCACCTACGCAGAAGGAACAGACAGACGGCTTCTCAGTTCTTCTCGCTTTGCAGCACGCTACTATGTCCTGGACTTAGACCTGGCAAGAGAGATTGCCGTCGCCAATCGCCTCCCTAGGCATACGTCAATGCTCAGGCCGGACAGAGTAAACTGCCGCTGTATGCTCCACCTTGTCCTCTGGGTGGCACTCATACTGAAGACATCCAGGCGTTTCATACTGCTGGATTCGATAAAGGTACCTGCCGATATTTCCGTGTCCAGTAATTACCTTCGTCTGGCAGAAGGTAATGACGCCGTGGCGTCTCTCTAGCCAGTCTTCTAAAGGATGTTACGCTCTCTGAAGTCCCTTCCACTGCGACAACAACTAGCCCGAAGGTTAGGGCTTCAGTTGGCGTTATTATGCGGAGCGGAACAGAGTGGAGACAAGCGTTAACGTGTGATCTGATCGAGAGAACGTGTATAACAGGGTGTGTGTATGGTGCGTGAGGGTGTCAAATTAAGCCCACGCTCCAAAGATCCAATAGACAACCACATACGGGGCAGTCAAGGACAAAGGAGGACTCCTTGTCCAGGCTGTGTCGTGTTTTTCCTAACACAAAAAAGGATAGTTACATGCGAGACAGTTCGGATTTACAAGGGGTCGGTCAATGATAAATGCCGTTTTGAACTTCTTAATCACATTTACGACGCGTGAGAGGACTCAAGCGACGCTTTGGGAATATTTTGTGATTTATCTAAGGCGTTCAATTGTATGTTTCATGATACACTGATTAGGAAGCTTTCCCATTACGGAATAAGAGGCGCATCTCTGGACTTTCTTACCTTATACCTGACTAATAGGGTTCAGAGTTTAAGTAAACGGAATGGTTTATCGTCTATTATGGTCTGTTGTGGAGATGGGTGTTCCGCAGGGTTCTATTATCGGTCCGTTTTTTCTTATCTATATTAATGACTTGCCTTACCTTGTAAGTTATAAACATGTGATAGTGCTGTTTGCTGATGATACATCACTGTTATTCAAACCCAGAGGGCGACAATCAGTTAATGACCATGTAAACAGTGCTCTCTCAAAAATAGTTCACTGGTTTGGTGTTAACAACTTATTACTAAACGAAACTAAAACTAAATGTATTAAATTTCCAACAAGGCAAGGCCGAGGAGTTAAGTCCTGTTGATACAACTGTCTTTTTAGGTTTAACCCTAGACGCTAAAGCTCCAATAAAGCCCACATAGAACCATCTAGGTTTGTCGAAGAAGCTCAGTTCTATGTCGAATATGCCATAAAAAAAATAGAAATTTTAACAGATGTAGATACAGCGCGGTTAGTTTATTTTGTTATTTTCATGTTTTTTATTTTTTCATTGTTAGCATCATGTCCTATGATATTCTGTTGTGGGGGAATGCTGCTGACATTCTGTCATGTCATCTTTGTTTTGAGAAATTGGTTTATTCGATCAATCTTTAATCTTAGTCCGAGGCATTCGCTTAGAAAATTATTAAGCAATTTAAAATAATGACAGTTGCCTCTCAATATATTTATGAAAATGTAATTCACGCTCATAACAACAAAAGCTTATTATGAGTTTGTTTCGGCATTTCTTCTCAGAATAGTCAGATAGGAAATGCCGGCTTCATCTAGTTTTTTACATTTAGTTAAACGTGTAAAAGTGCCGTTTTATGGCCTATTTGCATAGAAAAATAAATTCATTGTTTCAATAATTCATTGAAAGGAAAAGCCAAGGTGGTGAATCATAACTATTATTAATTTAAAATAAAATGAAAAAGTTTGTTCCATTCAAAATTTAAATAAGTTAGAAAATTATTCCTTCAGATTAATTACCTTTTAAGTCAATGTCGAAATTCGCTAAAGATCCGTAATCACCGACATAGCTGAAGTGGCTATGGGCAGGCCACATCGCTTGAAGGACTGGCGGCCGAAAAGTCTTCGAGGGGACTACGGACCGGAAAACCTAGCTTGGTCAGACCTCCTGCGAGGTGGACCGACGACCTCTTCAGAGTCACGGGGAGCCAATGGATGCGAGTGGTTTTTTGTCGTTTGGCGTGGAGAAGGGGAAGGGGTAGGCCTTTTTCTAGCACTGGCCGTTAGCCGGCTGATGAGGATGATAATAATCTTTTTAAGTCCGTTATATAAGACCATACAAACATCCATGACATTTGAGTAAATATTAGTTCAAAATTAAATAAATGTTAATATATAAATAATATGTTGTTATTTTGAAGAGACCTTATACCTAACTTGGGAGGTTTTTGATTGTATTTATAGTTTATTTAGAAAACATTAGTCCCAAAATGTCCAGACATCCACCTACTCATAGCAACGAAGACGTATCCATGGTGATGCCAGTTTTCCCAGACGTTTATTTTCGTACCTGCGGATTGTATGTCTAGGATATATCGATCCGACAATGACCACGCTAATTCGGGCAAACAAACTGATCTTTACAAAATAAACAAAGTGAATTGGCACAATAGAAGTAAGGTACAATATACTTATAAGGAGGAAGTTATAACAAATGAGTAATATTAAAACATAAATGCAAATTAAAACCCCTTTCTCTTCTTAGTCGTGCACTCTTGACAGAGTGGTCGTGGTCAGGTGTCGGTCGGATCTTGCGCCACCGCCTGTCTTGCGATGCGACGCCATGAACTTCTATGTTTGGCGGCTTGGGAGTTTTCGTTGACGCTGCAATGCGTCACCGATTTGATGAGGTCTGTCCACCATGTTGGAGAGCGTCCTTGTGATGTTTTGCCCTCAACTTTCCGTTGCACTACCAGTCGCTCCATTGAGTCCTCGTTACGGGCTTTTCCAGTTATAGTGTATAATCTATGGTTACGGGTGATATGATATATAAAACCCCTTACTTGCTACAAAATACAACAAACTCGGCAAAAAAATTAAATCTGCAAAAATAGATTAGGTAACGGATAAACAAATGAGAAATAGGTAGTACCTATATTAATTTCCTTTTGCATCCTAGAAAAATAAGCAAGCTAATTACGATGATCTGCTTAAACCTATGCTTGAAATAATAATCACAACAGTGAGAATAAAATGCATAAACACGAGAAATTCAAGGAAAGGCGAGGATGCGTTATGAGCTGTTACCACCATGTTGGACCATCAATTCTGACCTCTACTACGAAAAAGTGTGAAATTAAAGCAAAAACAGAGATTGAAAGAAAGAATCACACATCTTTAGTCACTCAATAAAAATAAAAAGACTGGCTGTGAGATGTTTATGAACCCCGCGCATAGTCCTGACCTTGCATTTTCAGATTTTCACTTGTTTCGGCCTCCTTAGTATTCTTAAAGCAGGTGTCAGGTTCCCATCACGAGAGGACTGCCAAAAGCACTTATCGCTGCATTTTAAACATAAGTCCTAACATTTCCATAGCAATGGGATCATAATTATCCCTTCCTACAAGATGACAAAAAGTAATTGAAGAAAATGGTCACATATTTTAGTTAAATGTATATTTTTTTTCGAATTATCCTTTATAATAGCGGATATATCTTTTCACCAGCTTATTATTTAGCTGATGACACGAGCGATGAGAGATGCATATAAATCTTTTTGCTAACGCATACAAACTTGTAAGCATATCAGAAATGATTACCTACACGACACGCAACTTAAACAGATATTAAAAAAAATCTACAGTAACAAAATTGAGGAGGATTAACAAAACAGAAGGACTTAAAGTGCACGAAGCTTCATTCAAATACTTAAGGTAGGAAAGGGAATTTTAATTTATTAAAATTTTTGTACGTTGTAGTTCCTTTGAATACTCTGTGAAGATCCAAGGAATCCAAAGCTGTCTTTCTGCTTTTAATACTACAAAGTTGTTCTTAACCCTTGTAATGACTTGACACCTATTAAGCTCAATTAGTTTCAAGCCACAACAATAGGGACGTACCTAATAAATCTTATTATAATGTCACGATAGTTAGTATAAAAAAAAGTTAAATTCTTAATACGCATACTAATAAAAAAGACGTTTACCGTTACCACTAACTTTTATTAAATTATCCATGCTTAAAAAATAAAAGCAAACAGATGGAGAATTATTTGTGCTTAATATAATTTTCTAAAACATAACCTTAATTTAGCACAATATTCAAATAATTGAACACTACAACCACAAAATAAAACCAAACGCAAAGAAAACATGTCATTCCTAAGTAAGATAAAACAAATAAGGTATTCGACGCGTCCTTTACGATACAAGTT